CATCACATATCAATGAATGTACATGGATGCTGTAGGACAATAGACAGACCTGAATAATTGTGGGTTAAAATCTGTACATATTAATTACCTAATTTGCATAATTAACCAATTTTAAGCTTTCACACTGATATCTAAAGTACCGTAAAAACTCCAAAATTTCGACCGGTTTTAAATAATTGGTGTTCGATATGTGACGTGTTTTTATAGTCAAAATTAAGGTGCATTTTCGGACGGTCGAATTTTTCAGAATAGAAATCAGCAAATGAAAAAATGGGGATGATAGACAGTGTGTTTCATTAATTTTTAAAAAATGCAATGTCCGTCAATTGACGTAAACTTCCCAATGTTTCACGGTAAAAGCAAAGGTCGTGGCCGAGTTGTAACTCAAAATCTAAACAAAGTCATCAATCAGTGAGTATTATGACAAGCAAAACAAAACATCAAGACGCGAAGAAGAGGTCAGCACAAAACTAATAGGTCAAAAGACAAAGCTGTCTCGCACTACCTAGGAAAACTTGCTTACATCGTTTTTTTTTTTTCGTTTGGGGGAAAACTAAAACTGGTCGCAATTTTCGAATAAGAATGAGTCGGCAATTTTTAGTGGAGTCGAAAATTTGGAGGTAAATAAAACACTGAAACCCGGCAAATAATTAGGTGGCCGAATTTTTAGAGGGGTCGAAATTTTGGAGTTTTTACGGTACTAATTATTCCATTTCAATGAAACTTAGTACAAAGATGCTCTAGGACAATGTACAAACCTAATTAGTTTGGTGTAAAAATCTGTTCATATTAATTCCCTAATAAGCATAATAATTCATAATTTTTTGGTTCTAATCACATTTCAATTAAACTTGGAGACATAGATTTTCTGTTACATTGCGCAGACCTCATTAGTTTTACACTCAAATCTGGTCATATTAATTTTCTGATTTGCATAATTAGTTTTCAGCTAAGTAATTTCGAATTATATTTAATGTGTCTCCAATACTCTCAGCACATGGGAGTTCTTTCTAAGCTTTCTTTGATTTCTTGATTTTTCAAAAATTGATCAAACGATTACTTCAGACCTTATTACATCATCCCAGGTTTACAAAAGATCGAAATTACAAAATAATGCTGCTTAAATTAGTGTTTTAAAACGCTAGAAGAAAAGACTACAACTGCCGTTTCATGCATATTTGCATAATGTTTATCTTTGGAAGGGTTTAAGTGATAACATCTTATCTGTAGACTCTGTTGTTGACGATTCTGATATAACGGGTGATAAGCTTTCCGTCGCAAACAATGCGTGTTTATCTAACGTCCATTGCCAGCATTATTGTCAGTCGACACTTCGTCGGAGAAACATGGTCATACAGTCCGGGCATACAGTACTCATTTCGCCCAACCTTCCGCTTTTACATCGATCGCTTATCGCTTAATTTCCTAAAGGATGACCAGATTTGAGTGTAAAACTAATGAGGTCTGCGCAATGTAACAGAAAATCTATGTCTCCAAGTTTAATTACCTAATTTGCATAATTAATTAATTTTCAGCATTTGATATAAGTACTAATCATCACATTTCAATGAAACTTGGTATATAGATGTCATATGACACTGCTCAGACCTAATAGTTTTTATGGTAATATCAGTACATATTAATTACCTAATTTGCATAATTAATTAATTATCAGCATTTGATATAAGTACTGATCATGACATTTCAATGAAACTTGGTACATAGA